CTTTCCCTATTAAACTGTCTTTATCTCAACCCACGAGTTTTCTCACTTTTACCCTTCTGATTCTCTCCCCCGTCACACCGGGGGTGAGTGAGCGAGTGGCTGTGTGGTGCTCAGTTGCCAGCTGAGGTTAAACCACAACAAATTTCTACAGTTAGCATCCACTGCAAATCACTCCCAATGGAATCATATAAATTTCCCTCCTAATTTTGTCCCTGTTATTCATCACTACGATGTCAATGCCATCATTATGATGCCACGTCACCATCAAAAATAGTAAGTAGAGCTGCATGCCCTGCCAATCAAGTCATGTTCCACTCTGTACCTAACCTGCTTTTGTCCATTAAGACCTCCAGAGTTATTAGAGGAAGCAGGACCACCAAAGCTGAAGAGACAAAGGGAGGAAAAAACCCTCCATTACTGGGTTCTTAGAAAGGAAATGAGTCCAATTAGTCTGTGCATGGTGTAATGGGAAAAGCAAACTTATGGCCTTAAAATCTGCAAGGGAAATAATGATTTTGCCCAGACTGGGATTTGCAGCGTGAGTTAATACAACCATGCTCTTCCATTCCTGCATAAGAATAAAATTGTATCTTAGCTAGTCTAAAACTATGTTAAAAAATTACCCTTCTTGTCACCTCCACACTAGCTGAATCAACATAATCAGGCAGTTCTGGAAAAGTAGCATGCTGGCAATAACAATAGAATGGGAGCCAGCTCAATCCATCCATCCATCCATCCAAATGTACGGACCAGTGGTTAGACGTATACCTATACTTCTTGATGTAACTGAAGATTTTGTAATGAAATTATGGCATTTGTAAAAATTAGAAAAACAGTAGCTGCTTTTGCTTTCAGTTACCTGAGAGCAAGGCAAAAACACCCCTCTTATTCACAACCTGAAACTCTCCTCAAATAATCTGATGATTCTTGCCAGGGCAAGTTTTCTTTACCACAGATTCTTTTTTTCATAAAAGAAAATCAGGGTGATTCTACAGTTGAACCAATATAGACAGAAAAAACCATGTCTAGTAGGGCCTGTAGCAATATGACAAGGGGTAATAGTTTTAAACTAAAAGATGGTAGATTCAGACTAGATATAAGGAAGAAATTTTTTACAATGAGTGTGGTGAAACACTGGAACAGGTTGTCCAGAGAGGCTGTAGATGCCCCATTCCTGGACACATTCAAGGTCAGGTTGGATGGGGCTCTGAGCAACCTGATCTAGTTGAAGATGTCCCAGCTCATTGCAGGGCGGTTGGACTAGATGACCTTTAAAGGTCCCTTCCAACCCAAACCATTCTATGATTCTATGAACATGGAGAAAAACCCAACATATATATGATTTGATATTCCAAGCCAATTCTAAAACTCCCTGGTAGAGGAGAGGGCTTTTTCCTTGAACTTACATTATAAATTTTCTCTTCACAGAAAAACAACTTTTGTAAACAAGTTAAATTCATGATCTGTCAATGGTAGACAGCATAGGCACAAAGTCCCAGTCTGACTCACCTCCTTCTCCACCCAACACCCCCTACAACCTCACAATATAAACAGGCTCAACACTTGGTCTATAGCAAACAAGACTGGAATGTGTGAATTGTCTAGCAGGACAATTCAAGACCTGAAATGAGTGTCGTTACATATGTGATTTTTCAAAAATCTCATGAAGACAGCAATATGGAGATCATCTTATAGTCACAGATGTCAAAAGTGAACGTTTTTAACAGATTTTAGATCCATTAGATCCATGACTGAACCTTTTAAAATTCAATGCTGTTTTCCAAGAAAATAGATGAGGTTTGTTAGTGCATTTTAACAGACTTACAGAATCCAAACGATGGTTTGGAAAAACATTTTAATCCATAGGAAAATATATTCCAATGTGTATTTTCCGAAATCACACAACTCTTGAGGATTGAATGCAGGGGAGTGGGACGGGGAAGAGTTCTCAATGAAGTTGACTATTTCAGTGGGTTTAGGTTGTACAGTCTTACCGCTGTGATCCAACACGAAGTCATCCTGAGCATACCGGTATTTCTCAGGACCACATGCAATGAAGACATCATCATCTCCAAAGAAGTCCTGCAAGCATGTCACCTTGACAGCAAAATATACAAAGCAAAATAAACAAATGCAGTACTTTCAAATGCTAAATCCTCAGTTAGTCAGCAACAGTTAATAAGTTTGTGTTTTCCTTTTCACAGTGATACCATAATGTTCTTTTATAAAGACAGAAACACTCCAGTTCTCAAGTACTTCACCTCTCCCAATACTGCAGGAAACCTCAGGGTCAAGACTGTAAAATATGACTGCCCCTCACCTCCAAAAACACCTTCTCTTACATTTAACACCTGCGTTTTTGCCTATAACTACACATGCATGCTGATGACTGACAAGATCAGCTATAAACACTACTCAAATATCAAAGCTTCTTGTATTCTTACATTAATTGCTTATGGGAAAATCTGTCGAGTTAAAATGATTGCATCTACAAATTTATTTTTTTATGCTCTGAGGCATTTAATTTCCATGTTTTAATGTCCCGATAACAAAAATTAATTCCCCCTTTTATTAGAAGGTAGTCCCTATTCAAGAAAAAAAAGAAATACAGAGTCCCTTCCGTGCCCTTTGCAGCTCTGTCTGTTCTTAATTGCCCCAGTAATGATGTTACAATGTAGCCGGCAGTGTGCCCAGGTGGCCAAGAAGGCCAATGGCATCCTGGCCTGTATCAGAAATAGTGTGGCCAGCAGGAGTAGGGAAGTGATCGTGCCCCTGTACTTGGCCCTGGTGAGGCCGCACCTCGAATACTGTGTTCAGTTTTGGGCCCCTCACTACAAGAAGGACGTCAAGGTGCTGGAGTGTGTCCAGAGAAGGGCAACGAGGCTGGTGAGGGGTCTGGAGAACAAGTCTTATGAGGAGCGGCTGAGGGAACTGGGGTTGTTTAGCCTGGAGAAAAGGAGGCTGAGGGGAGACCTCATCGCTCTCTACAGCTACCTGAAAGGAGGTTGTAGCGAGGTGGGTGTCGGTCTCTTCTCCCAAGTAACAAGCGATAGGACGAGAGGAAATGGCCTCAAGTTGCGCCAGGGGAGGTTTAGATTGGATGTAAGGAAAAATTTCTTTACTGAAAGAGTGGTGAAACATTGGAACAGGCTGCCCAGGGAAGTGGTGGAGTCCCCATCCCTGGAGGTATTCAAAAGACGTGTAGATGAGGCACTTAGGGACATGGTTTAGTGGGCATGGTGGTGTTGGGTTGACGGTTGGACTTGATGATCTTAGAGGTCTTTTCCAACCTCAATGATTCTATGATTCTATGATTTCAAGAAGGATGGGGATATCAGAAAGAAAAATGTTTTAGACATTCTTTAAAAACACAAAACCAAAGACCTTGAAAAAGCCTCACTCCTCAAAAGTCAATAGAAGTCAGCTTGTGAAGGAGAAAAGTCTGCTTTAAAAACAATTAAAACCCAAAATGCCACAACAAGAAATCCCACCAAATTCATTCTAGCTCCCCGGAAGAAAAAAAAAGTGTTTGCAGGTAGCAAGCTATTTTTCAAATGTAACCAGATTAAAATTTTACTGTATAATCGTTTCCCTATTCTTTTTAACATTGCACACCCAAATGAGATCTGGGAATAAAAGCTATGCAGAATCTAAAAAAGTTAGAACCATTTGGTAAAACCATGTAATTAAAGCGGTAAACCAAAAAACTGCTTTTAGGGAAACTACCTTTTTCCCTTCCCAGATACTTGTCAACACCATTTGCATATTTTACCCACTGTGATAATAGTAAACATTGGCAGATCTACAGGAAGGGGTTTCTACTGCCTGCAGTATTCTGAGAAACACTCAGAATATCAATGACCCTCAGCTCTCTGCAAGAACACCCACACAGGGCATTCACCAGCAGCGCAGTTGTCATGGCAGCTAACCCAGGAATACCAGCCGGTGCCCTTACAGCAAGATCACACTACAGTGCCACATGCAGTATCCAGCATTTGTGTCACTGTGTTATGCAGCCAAAGGACTCCAGCCATCACCAAAATCCTTTTATTGTTTTCTTACCATTGCAGCGACAATCTGCTCTCATTGACGAGAGACATTTTCAGCTGTACTTGAAAACACTGCTTCTAGTTAACCGAAGAGGTAGTAATAACTGGATTCAAAAGGCTGTACAAATTTAAGAGTTTTGCTAACATGGGATTTATTCCTCTCTACCTAATCTCTCCTAATACAAGGACTCATTATCATTTCCACAGATTTTAGGAATCCAGCAACCAACTCAAACGCACCACTACAGGAAAAGCTTTCAGAACACTTATCCCAGTAGCACTGCTGGACAAGGGCAGAGATGATCTGTGAGGCAAAAGTTCACACCCAAAGCCCCCAAAACTGGGTGCCATTTCCACAAGCTCTGCCAACCCATCACTGCTCTACTCATGCCCCCAATGCCCTTGCAGTGCTGTTTCAAGCAGGTTAGAGTTAAATGCTGTGGTTTAGCAGAGCCTAAAATTAATCTTTCTGTTCTGATTCAAAGCCTCCCCCTCACCCCTTAACCCATCCAGTCTAACAACCGAGCTGAGAGTAAGAGAGGAGAGAACGACAGGTCTTATGTCAGAGTCTGGGAATACACAGGGATGTAACTGCATGTGGCATCATCCTTTTGTTGTTCACAGAGCAATTCTACAAAGGAAGGGTCAGATCTGTACACAAAAGATGACAGGAGTACCCTTAGAAATGCACCTTTAAATCTTTTGTAAATGGCTATTGGGGAGGGAAATAAAGAACTTTAAGAAAGGTATTAATTTCCATAGGTGCTTTCCCACATGTTCATGTATAAACAGTTTCCCCAGGCAAGAATACACAGGAGTAATCAGCAACATGAGTACCAGTGATCAGATAAACTGCTGCAGGTGGAGCAACAGCACCTGCATCTTGGAGCTCAGGCTAATTCCAGCCTCTCAGTCTGCTTGCACGCTTTGTACCTGACCTGCGTGACTTCCACCTGTCAGTCACAGACCAAGACAGACTTTAGCTTACTGTAAAAGATACTAAACTACACTTATAAGTGGAAGCCAGATAAATGCAAGTATGAGAAAGATTTACATAGATGCTCGCTACATTCCAGCAGTGAATACTGGAAGTCCTCCTCCTTCCTACAAATAGTCCAGACCGGCTACACAGAAAATATACAAGAAAAAAAATATTGAAAAAGTGTATTCAACAAGGAATAAAGATCTGCTAGAACTTACCAATCCCCAAAACCCACACATTATGAGATGAGGGAAGTATTTTTAAAACCAAGTTCATGGAAATCTTCTGTTTTCCTAAAAGTACAATCTAATGTTTTTTTTTCTAGGCCTTTATCATAACAAAGTCAAAGGAGCAGCTTGCAAAGTGCAAACAGAGGCTAAAATAAACAGTCTTCATTTCCTACAGAATTAAAATTAATGTATATGTTGCAATTAATGATAACAGTTTTTTGCTCACTTAGGGTGCAAAAACCTATTAAGGGAAAGCTGAAATGAATAAATTGTTTGCATGGGATTTTTGAATGCTGCAGGTCCACCGTGGTCTAACTTGCAAATCACACAATTCCACTCCAAAGAATATCTATACTTAGATCATATAGCAATTTTTTGTAGCTTTGAGCAGAGTTCAATCAGTCTAGAAATTTAAAAACAAAAAAATTTTGAACACTTTTTTTTTTTTTAGTTTCATTAGCAGTAAAACTTGTGCATATGAATAGCATGTCAGTCATTCCAGTAAGTTAGGGATCAAAATTTGGTTTGTCAAACTAGTGTACGACAAATGCTGCTTCTCTTTCCACTAAGTATCTATACTCTGTCTTACCCATTCTGTTTTGCTGCACTTGGTGCTAAAAGAACTGTTCAGTCCTTCAAAACATTTCCTAAAATGTCTTTCAAAGGAAGATGGTATTAGCAAAGCTGCATATAAGTGTACCATAGCAAAAATAGTCAAATATGTAGTCATTCATTCAAGTAACAACTCTCTTGCTAGTCCTGATGCTGTGAGCTTCTATGCATGAAGTTGAAAATGTAAAAAGCTTTATACACCTTGAAGAGGTTAAGCACCAAAATTAGATCTGATTTTCAATAGTGTTGAGAGCTTCTTTAAAATTACAGTCATTAGGTCATTTCTGAGATTCAGATCTGGCCAATTCCTAGTTTACATCCACAAAAGCTCTATACAAGTACTCAGAATGCATGCTTTCCATCGGTGGCCTTGCAGTAAAGCTCAATCAGAATGTCTCCTCTCCTGTCTGTGGCTTTAATTACCACAGATAATGCTCTTTTAAAAGAACGAGATGACTATCATTTGTTTGTCCACAGGGGGAAAAAAAAAAAAATCTATTCTAAATCTCTCTTTTTTTATGGAAGGCATACACAGAGCTGCACAAGGAAGTTTTTCAGGGTTTATCATTATAGCCAACACTACAAAGGCTTACACCAAAGGAGTTTCACGCTTCCATGAATTCTTTTTTTTTCCCCCTCACATAGAAAAGTGAAATATATTTTGAAAAACTGCTTTAGGAGCACTTCAGAAAAATGTTATCTTGTTAACTCTGGATGTTTCAATTAACATGTTTAAAATGTGTTAAACCCTATTTATTTCTAAATATCCTTTCCTAGCCAAACATCGCCTATGTTCTGCTGGTAACTCCACCACCTTCCCTTTATTTAGAACAAAAAGTGACTTACTGGTGCTCCTCTGACAACTCAGACTGCTATCAGGTTGTCTTGTTGCACTGCTTTTGTTCAAAATATGTCACTATGCACAGCAGAGTAGTGCTTATTTGGATAGGACTGGATTGGACTTGTATTCAGTCCTTTAAGAATACTTCTAATGGCTTAGAATTACAAGCAGGAATATAAGGGAATAGGGAAAAGCAAAAATGTTGTGCAAAAAGTCTCAGAATAAATATAACTGGAAGTCAACATCACTTTTTTTTTTTAGTAGGGTCACCCACAGCATTATTGCGTGTCTGTTTCAACAGAATCGTTCACTTGCATTCTCACCATAGCTTTCTGAGTTGATGTGCAAATGACTCTGGGCATCACTGCTTCCTGATGGGCTCA